CCCTACTCATGTACGAGCAAAATCGGGTGTTTAGAGGCGCCCATGCCCACATACGAGCGTGTGGAAATTTTGGCGCTAGAATTACTAACCCAGGAATGGAAAAAGTTAGAAGGCTGAAACTTTACGGTAATGTCCCCTACTCATGTATGACCAAAAGATTTTAAATTCAGCTTCTTAAAATCGTCCAGTACTCACGTACAAACACGTGGAAATTTTGATGGGAAAACTGCTAATTCAGGAACGGGAAAAGCCGAAGGCTTTAATTTTAAGGGAATATTTCCTGCTCATATGCGACTAAAAGATTTTAAACTTAATTCTTCCAGTGTGGCCTTTTTTTGCGGACCAGCAACTTTCCATCTGTCGTGTCACTGAAGTCGACACCTACAACTAACATAACCAGATAGTTGCACAATTAACTTCCGGAACTTCGACGGCCAGTATTTCAGAGGGTTAGCTATTTTGATTCTTTGCGATCTTGCAACGGCACGAAAAGTGCAAAAACGCATAATCGCACCGGCCCGCCTGGTGCGTTCCAGCCTGAGTTTGTCTTTGCGCTTCTTTACTAATAAGGAAAATTGTTTATTAGTTTGGGTGCGTGCGCTTCCTGCGATTCCACACCTTCGGCCACGAAAGTCCTCTCCGTTACAAGGCTTCACGTCGAAGATCGAGCTAATTTACAATTCTAGCTGGGTCTGTGACCTTGAAATCAAAGCTTGGAAGAAAATACTGAGATCCAAAAGTTGATTACCGCGTATTAAGTTGAAGACTATATTTGCTCAAAACTTCAGCTTTGCAACTTACACAGTTCTTAAGTTCCAGATTTTTCAGGCATCCCAGGCATGATCGTGCTACAAGGCATTTTGACCCAGGCAAAACAAATAATGTATAAACACATGCCCGTCATAACTGGCGGTTGATAGCCCATCATGAATCCCGTATCGCGCCTTCCCGTTCGTACTCGCTTGTGATGTCCCGACAAAAATGCTTTCATGTCTTCTACGACATCGTTTGCTGAGACACGATTGCACTGTAACACAGCTCTAACACTGTCACGGAAAGACAATGTCCCAAGTTAAATTTGCTGTTATTTGATCATGGATTTGAAAGAAAAACGAAGAAAAAAGTTCGATTTATAAAAATATAATAAGTAACGCATCCCTTTTTGAACCAAGCATTTTTGCAAAGAGCTGTTGAAGGGCGTAAAGTGAATGAGTTCGTTCCGGACTTACAGAATTAGCAAAAAATTTGTGTTTGAGGCCATCAGGACATATTCAGACATCGAATTCAGGTTATCAACCTTGCAAGAGAGAGTAAGCTAAAACTGCAAAAATTCCAGATTTGATACTTCCTTCATTCTGAAGTTGCGTAGCTCGCCTAAGTTATGGCTTGCGTTCAAAATTTTAAGAAGCTGGAGAGCACTTTAATAAGATTGATTGACTTAGCAGTGAATAATCTTGGGATTATTACTTTTGGCAAGAAGGAAACTTAGAAATTTTGGCGAAATAAGTTACTTTGAAGAATTTTATTGGGGATTTACAAATAGGAGTTTGTAGGCTATTTCAAATTATCATCTCGTCCTGGTCAAATAATTCAAACTACAAAAATTTAAAGATGCATTTGTTGGTACTCTGATTTCACGACCTCAGTTTGTATTCACGGGTAAGGCCATACTGGAGTTACGATTTCCCTTCGTTTATCCTCTAAAACTGCATAATCTAAAGCTACAATTTCTGAATTGTACGGAGGGTCTAGCTCATGCTTGAAAAAACTGGCTTAAACCTACACCTGAAGTCATAAGTCGCATACAAACACAACATGATTAGTGCTGAGTTGCAAACGTCGCTCATGCACTGCACGGTAAAATAACACCCCGAACTCCGAGACAGTAGCCTTGCTTATTCCTTTTATACACTGCCGGTAGGAAGATACAGAATAAACTAAAAAACAAAAAAACGCTTAAAATATATTTAATTGAATGAGTCATAAATTTGAGCGTAGGGACCATACTAGGACAGAGCACCGAATGGGAATGCATCACTGCTATCTTAGAAGTAACGCACATCGCAACACAAAACACTACTCTGAGCAGTGCGTCCACACTTTAAGCAGACGCGATTCAATCGGAACCCTCCTGTATTAAAACTTTGCTTCAATTCTGTATCGTTGCTATGCGTGAAATTTTTTTTTTCTGTAGAATAAAAAAGCTAGTTGATAAACCCGGGAATCATACTTGAAAAATGTGCATTTCCGTTGGATTCAAACTTCTGCCACGTTTCTTGTCCTCTTTTACGATAAATAATAAGATATTATTGTAAACGTCTCGCGGGTCCGTTGACAAATGAGCGGTCGGCGTAGTGACAAGCTCCATTGGAAACTGTTCCACAAGATCCTGGAAAATACTAGTTCTAAACAACGAAGCACAAACTGACTGCACGATGGTATCCAAGCAGCGCTAAACACACAGTAGAAACGCAGATAGGTGGAATGGGAGTAAATCGGACGTTTGTATGGTGTAACACAGAAACGATGAATTCGGGAAAAAACAGAATAAAGAAATTACCAAGATAGGCTGGAAACGATGGAATAGTAGCTGTTCCAAGCTACTATCGCACCAGAAGGATTTTATTTACGCTCTGGCGCTCATAAATTACAGTTTCACTTGCAAAATAAGTAAATTTATGAGGCACCCAAAACTGTGGGAAACATTTGAACTTCTGTTAGCGCATTAGAAGTGAAAAAAATGCATACCCCATTTTCGTCTTCAACAGAAACAACGTTAGGACGCAGTCGGAGTACCATCGGCTGTGCCCATATTGCACTATTATTCTCCAGCTGCTTCAGTTTTCTCACGCCATCATCCGGAAATTGTAGGCCAAATTCTCGACCAACCGCAAAAGTTGCCAGGTGCTCCACCCAATATGATGGCGTTTCACTCTCAACAGTGCTTGGATGACGACTGCCACTACCTGATTTCATTGAGAAACAATTAACACAGACTGCTGCGCAAACAACGACTATTCTAAGTGGCAGATAAATCCTAGAAAATTACCATGCCCTATAACTGCTGGGTTCTCCGCTACTCCGTTGTATGGCTGAGCCGCAGCGCGATTATAGGATGGCATTGCCGGCGATGGCACATTCGAA